GTTGGATTTTATTAGTGATTTTTTTCTTGCAATGTCATTATCAATTGTTCTGTGTACACGCGGTGAGAATATCTTCGCTGTTTTTTAAAGGCACATAAGTCAAGTCTATGAAGGCATTTTTCATTTTAAAGATATGCTTGATTCTGGTCATCACTATCTGGTGAAAAAATTCGGATAATTTATAATGAAGAGGGCAGTCAATTTATGAGGTGATGATAACTTTGAATCTTTAATACCCTGTTTACCATGGCAAACCAGGTGATGATAGGCACAAGTCCAAAAATCTACTATTCACCTGCAAATTCGACAAAAATTTAGAGTGGGAGAATGGAATGCCTAGTGTTGATCCTTAAGGGATTTATTCCATGGCGGATTCATTCATTAAGACTGGTTATATGGGCATCTGTTGGTAGGTACTCAAATAAAAATTGATAATCCAAAATTAATGGGTAATTTAAGATAACAAAAGTTGTGAGTTGCTCTAATATTGGTTCGTAATTGGGGAAAACGTAAAATACATACGTCACTTTTGACCCAATGACTATTTTTACATGCCTGTATTTTTTGCAAATGCTATTCAAATACCTATAAACAAATAAGCCCTACATTGAAAAGATCAAATTGCCCCTCCTCGCAGACTTTTTTTAGCATGTTTGGATGGGTTAGTTTTCAATGGGCTTTGAGCGTTTTGGGTGGGTGTGAAAATTTGAGATTGGGGATGGTCATTTTTGAAAAGACAATGAAATTTTCGTAAATAGGAAGCAATCATAATTGATGCAAGGTGCAAAATGGTCTCCAAAGGTAAACCTTTAGGTATGTATTAGGTATTTTTGGAAGTAGAGTTACATAGTGTTCATTGGGTGAAAGGCAAGGTATGTTCTTGGTATTTTTATTTGATATTTCCATATAAGAGTTTGTGAATTCAAGCATTTTGTAATTAAAATAAATTTTGGCAAGTTAGTGTGAAAATTGCTGTTGTTGGTAAGTTGCAAGACATTTCCTCCATCTGTTGTGTGTGTTCTTGACATTTTCTTCAATGATTTTGGACAAACTAATTGGGCCCTAAATATCAAGGTGTTTTCTTTATCAAAAGAAACGGAAAATTAATTTTAAAAAAAAGAAGGTTCTCTACTTTTTATTTTTTATTCATTTTTTTCTCTACATTATTGATTTTCGGCCAAAATTAATCCGAAGGACTACATTGGCAAATTGTCAAAAGATTTATGACTAAATTAGCAAAATGAAAGGTTCATGACTGAATTGACATTCAAACAATTGGCTTATGACTTATTTTTGGTAATTATCCCTCAGTTTTAGATATATAATCTATGAATGTTCTTCTCATATTCGGTGCGCAATTCGGTTCATTTCTGCCTCATTCGCATCCTACACACCTGCCGGGAATTACTCATTGTCCGAGCCCTCTTGGCCCAACGATCACTCTCCATCCTTGTTGGACCGGGTCATTATATGAATAATTATATGCAACCTTCAGCTGAAGGCATCAAGCAAAAGTATTTCATAAACAAGGCATGTGCAACATGAATTTATCTAAACATTTGAACTTGGCAAGTCTCGAATGAATATTTTGTGGAATCCCACAAATTTATACGATCTAAAAATAGGTTGTGGCGCATATGAAGCTAAGACCAGTTATTATGCACTGTTTTATTTTATAATTACGTATATGGTCCTATTTTGTGGAATCCCACAAATATATAGTCTTGTGACCTCAGCGTGTCTCATCATCAATTCTTATTCTATGCTTCGGACTTCTTACGACAAACTATTATCAAGTAAAAAGAAAAATAAAAAAAATTAATAGACAATGCATTTAGGGATCATATTTAGGTCATGCATACATTGTTTGGTCTTTATTTAACATTCTCCAAAATATTTGGAGAATTGGACAATAATTAGGCTTTGCTTTTGATTTTCTTACCACATTAAGGTTTTCTATCGCCTTAAGCAATTTATTTATCGATTTAATCATTGAGTGTTAAATTATTGTTTGGGCAGATGTAGGATCACACATCTTAATGGTCTAAGAGTAAAATTGATCAAGACTGCTCTCAAAACATTTTTTTGAAATAAAGAGAAAATATACCGAAAAAACATTAAAGTTTTCTAGTGTAACCAAGTATCCATATCCATAAAGTCCCTAGCCCGTAGAAGTAAAGTTTACAATTGAACCAAATTAGATTAGTAGCAACTTTAAAATGAATTGATTTGTATGATTAAATCAAAACCCTAAAGTTGCGATTGAAATGAGTCCGCATTAAGTGTTTGCTTAATAATTCATTAGCTTTCCTTTGATGGTTCACCTCGAGGGAGGTCGCCACACCAACTGCAAGTAAGATTGAGATGAATGACGTTACCAGTGACATCATTGAAAGCGACACTGTCTCATGAGCTGCAGTCTACGCCCTTATTCCATGAGTTTTGTCCTTGGATAAGAGGTGACCTTGGCAAACCTATCACAAATATAGTCGGACGACTAGCTATCAAGCATGAAGGAATTCTTAAAGTGGAGCAAGGCATCTCGCTCGTCAGGAGGGCGAGGCAAAGGGTAGGGAGGAATGTAGGAAAAAGGGAGGCCGAGGACTTGGTGCCACCCCACATTGCAATTTTGCATGCGAGGGAGTTGAAGTGGTGGAGGAGGAGTGCTTCAAACTTACGTAGCCCTTCTAAAACTGCGAAGTCATGGACGCAAGTCTTCTCTAAAAGGTCTATTGGTGGTGGGCTCATAACATGTGTTAGCTGTTCTAAAAGCGCATTAGATCAAGTCGCACAATTCCATCCTCCAACACGATACACCACTTAACTCACTACATCTCCGCCACCGCGTTGACCCCACTCCCCTAAGTCAACACAACGCAAACATCCTGACACGTGTGCTATGATTAGCCACTTGGAACATTCAATTACGGTTAGACGGGGAGTATCAGATTTTTCAACATTCGCCAGTGCAAGCAAAATTATATATAGCTTTTGAAAATGGTCCTTTTGATGGTCGTGAAAGGATGACCAACAGAAAGGGGACGCCTGCACTTCTCTTTCCTTTTTCTCGTCAGACCAGAATTTTGTGTTTTTTTGTGTACGAAACTCTTGTCTTTTGTTTTTCCCTCATTCCTTTCTTCTATATACATACGTGGCGATACTCACAGGAATTAAATCCCAAATCTGGTACTCTCTGGCCCCATCTCCCATTCCCTTTATCAGCAGGGCCGTATACATCTTGGCTGAAACTCGTTGTCTGGACTCCAAGTGTTTTGATCCAACGGCATTGACGGATTCCAGGTGTGGGGACACTTTGGCACTTGTCGTCGCAAAATTGCGCAGAAAGGGCAAAGAAATGACACAGGACATGGTAGAATTCCATTATTTTTTGCTCTAGGACAGCGGTGCACTTAGTTATAAATACTAAGAAGTCAAGGTCTTCTTGAAATGACAATTACTGGGGCCACAAATTTGGTTTTCTTGATTGTCTTGGTGGGGTTACTTGAGCGTGGAACTTCTTTGGGACATAGAATTTCTTCCTTCGATGAATGCATAAAAGACGGCGGAGTGGTCATCAGGACATCGATGTAAAATGAGTATTGATAGACTGATCTCATAACTTGGATTTTATTGGTGAGTTTTTTCCGTTGTCGTCCAATCTTGCCACAAAATACACGGCAAGGAAGTCTTTGTTTGCTGTTACTGAAGGCATATTAATCAAGTCTATTTTAGCATCTTTTATCCATGAGACAATCTAAGGGCAGAATGTTAACATTGATAAAGACATGATGGCAATGGCCATGACCGTACCGTAGACGAAATACTTTGAATTTGGACATTTAATTATTTGGGAGGGCAACATTTTTAGTTATTATTTAGTATATTTTTTTGGAATTTGAAGATACTTTGAATAATTCCCTGGACATTTCTCTGTTCCACTTGACACAGTGTTCTCTATCAAAGACAATGTATACTAGCTTCCAGTGCACAATCTACTACTGACCTGCAACAGAGAAACGTCCACAAATTGCGCAGAAAGGGCAAAGAAATGACACAGGACGTCGTAGAATTCCATTATTTTTTGCTCTAGGACAGCGGTACACTTAATTATAAATACTAAGAAGTCAAGGTCTTCTTGAAATGACAATTACTGGGGCCACAAATTTGGTTTTCTTGATTGTCTTGGTGGGGTTACTTGGGCGTGGAACTTCTATGGGACATAGGATTTCCTCCTTCGATGAATGCATGAAAGACGGCGGAGTGGTCTTCAGGACATCGATGTAAAATGAGTATTGATATATGGATCTAAAAGCTTGGATTTTATTGGTGAATTTTTTCCGTTGTCGTCCAATCATACCACAAAATACACGGCAAGGAAGTCTTTGTTTGCTGTCATTGAAGGCATATTAGTCAAGTCTGTTTTAGCATCTTTTATCCATGAGACAATCTAAGGGCAGAATGTGAACGTTGATAAAGACATGATGGCAATGGCCATGACCATATGGTAGACAAAATACTTTGAATTTGGACATTTAATTATTCGGGAGGGCACCTTCTTTTGTTATTTTTTAGTAAAATTTTTTGGAATATGAAGATTCTTTGAATAATTCCCTGGACATTTCTCTGTTCCTCTTGACCCAGTGTTCTCTATCAAAGACAATGTATACTAGCTTCCAGTCCACAATCTACTACTTACCTGCAACTTCAATGATTTTAGTGTTGATTTTTCAGGGCATATTTCCTCGACAAATTAATTTCATAACAACTTTGGCTAATGGGTCAACGCCAGCCTTCACTTCTAATTCTTCATGGATAAATAAAAGCCATGCACACAGGAAGATTGAAAATGATATTTGTAAAGGTTAATGGTACTGGCTTCAATTTTATGTTTTTTTTAATATTTTTTTCTTAAAGCTATGTGTGCTTAGCAAATTAAATATAATTGTTCATCTTCTCAATCTAATTGATATACAACTGCACCAAGAAACAAGAAGGGAATACATTAGGAACCAGACTCCACAAGGGAAATGACATTTCAAGCTAGTCTGGTGACATCTTTATTCACTGAATCTACATTGCACGGTTTAAAGAGACAACTTCTCAAACAATTTCATTGTCCATGAAATTTGATGGCCTTCCGTTTTGGCTTTTCCATCCACTCGACTGCTCTTCTCTCGAGCATTTTCACACCTCGCGAGAGCCATTTGGGCCTTTTGGATTCAAATGCAATATATGCTATAGAAATCCCAATTACGATTCCAGATGCATAACCCATCCACACTGCTTTTTGTTTGAACCAACTCTCATGCCCTTTGCAGTCGAAACTTGATGAGGATGATGGTGGAGGAGGTTGAACATAGCCAAGGCATGCTTTTGGCAATGGAGTTCCACATAAGCCTGAATTACCACCAAATGATTCGCTTGAAAATGTGCTCAAGTGCTTGTCTTGAGGTATGCGTCTCGTGAGTTGGTTCTTGGAGAGGTCCAAGTATCCAAGGTATGCCAAATCTCCTAGTACTCTAGGAATTCCCCCACCAAGCTTGTTTGAAGATAGATCAAGCCATTCAAGATCAGTCAAGTTCCCTAGACTTAGAGGGATGGAACCTGTAAGGTGGTTATGAGATAGGTTGAGCCCTATGAGAGATTGAAGATTTCCAATAACTTCCGGGATATCCCCTTGGAATGAGTTGCACGACAAATCAATGATTGTGAAGAAGGTCAAGATCTTCACTCGCTCAATCTCTTGCCCTTTTATGGCCACAGTCATGGAATTTTCATATGACGTCCTTCTCCATAATCTTTCAAAAGACCATGCCATGTACAACGATTTGTCTGGGCCAATTTCTCCATTCATCATCGCTTTAAGGTTCATTATCAAGGTGGCTGGCAAAGGACCACCAAAGTTGTTGTTGGAGAGGTCCAAAATATGTAACTTGGGAAATAGGTGAGCTCCCCTAGGAATATTCAAAAGATCCTTAAAATTGTTGGACCTCAAAATGAGAACTTTTAATTCCCAAAGTGTTCCCAACCATCTCGGGAACGTATCCTCTATATGGTTGTCATTGAGATCCAAAACTTCCAAATGTTTACATTTGACAAGGGATCGGGGCAATGTGCCTTCAAACAGATTTCGACGCAAGTCGAGAGTCGTCAAGCTATTTCTCGAACAAAATGATTGAGGAATTGTACCATCAAGGTGATTCATTCGCAAGTTCAACACTGATAGACCGGTGCTAAAATTTGTTAAGCATTGAGGCAAACTACCGGTTAAGGTGTTGTAAGACAAGTTGATGATCTTGAGCTCGGTGGCATTGCATAACAAAGAAGGGATCTTTCCTGTCATCGTATTACTTGCAATGGAATAATAATATGTGACAGGAGATATAAGTAGAATTGGGCCTTCAAACTTGTTGTTGGACAAATCTATTGCATACAATGAGGTGTTTGAGAAAATATTTGTAGGCCATCACCCAGTAAAATTGTTGCTGGAAATAAATAAAGATTCAAGAGGAGGGAAGGAGAGTCCAAAGGTAGTGAGGTTGATCCTACCATAAAATTTGTTGGACCGCAAATCAAGGGACATTAGTTGCGGTGCTTCTAGCCAATGCGGGAAGATATCACTGAACTCATTGTGACTGAGATCTAGGAATTGTAAGTTCACTCATTTCACTAGAGCGCGCGGTCATGGTCCTTGTAATTTGTTGATGCCCAGGACTAGATATGTGAGATTGGTTATATTACCTAAACATGGTGGCACATTCCCAGAGAGATTATTGTTAGACAAATGTAAAAATCTGAGTGAGCTCAATTGGCAAATTGAAGTGGGGATCTCACCGAAGAAACCATTGTCAGAGGCAGAAAAGTAAAAAGTAGAAGGTGGAGGTAAAAAGAGTGGTCCTTGGAATGAGTTTTTATCAAGGACAATCTTTAATAATAGCTTCCAGTACAATTGCCAAATACCTCCCTCCAGAAGGTTATCAGAAAGATCTAAGATTTCCAATGTATCTTGGCTTACTCCCCAAAACCATATCGGGATCTCTCCACTAATCCTGTTGGAACTGAGGTCTAATTGTGTTAATCTTTTTAATGAATTCAAGAAATATGGGAACTTGATCAGGTTGCAAAAAGGCAACCGCAACTCTTCAAGCTTCGGTGACTCTAAAATTCAGAAAGTACGATGACAAATATTAGAAAACATATTGACTAGGTAACAAGTTTATTTCCAAATTTGGTGTCCTCAGTAGTACTTTTGGACTTAGCATTAAATGATCTTCGCATGAAAATGAAAGAATCTGGAGTTGATTATTCTGTGGATGATTTCTGTGAAAGCTTTTATTAACTAGTGAAATATGGGATATCGATGCCTTTACGATGGTGTCATTTCTATATATTATGGATAGTACAAGAAGAGTTACTCCCAAGGCAAGAATAAACAGAAATATCGCAAAAGATCTTAACCGAAATTGTTGCCCTTCTGTCCTACTAATGTGGTGGAACCAGCTGACACTATAAGATAGTGGAGAAATTCTTGTCATTTATAACTCGGTGCGTGATGATTCTTGCTCAATAAAATAACCTTAATCGGACGACAGATTCACATTCCTAATGCCAAGATTTGAGATTTCACGTATAACAATTTTTTGGTATCATGACAAGTATGAATCAACCCTTATTTCTGCTTTTGAAATAATAATTTATTCAGGCACGTTACAATTGAGGAGAACGCAATGAATACACACATGTATATATTTCACAAAAATTTCTTATTTTGTAGACAGATGTGACAAATATTCAATTTGACAATGGATATTTCTCATACCTCATTCTAAAATCCCGAAGTTGGACTTGTGCACCAATACTCTCGAAGCATTTACCACCACCTAAAAGTTTCCTACAATAATCCAAGCATGTTGTGCAATCTATAGGCAAGAGTACCCCACTGCAAAGACTGTGGCCATAGCAAATGCTCTGAGGCTCTAAAGGCAAGAAGTAATAATAGTCATACCCATTATATGTCGTCGCCGGGCGCAACTCTTCAAGAACCGATTCTAAGTCGTGCTTGAAATTGTTCTCATGGTTCTTTTCGCCATTGCAATCATGTTCGCAATTGTCGCATCTGGATCAGCTCTTGCCTTACTACAAAAGTAGATTTAACTGATTGCACTCGGAAAATCAACCATCGATATCTTTTTTGCTTTCTTCATCCTTTAGGACCTTTGATGGGGTCGCTAGTATTAACTCCCACTAGCTACTTCACCAACTAGCTCAAAATGCATGCCTCAACATTATCTAATACAACCTCTCATTCTCCTTTTTTCGATTCTTTTCGACTAGTTATTACTCATTGCTTAGTTTCTATAGGGCATGCACTTTCTCGGGTTATTCAAAACTTCGGCATCTAATGCCAGACTAATGCCATTACCGTTAGTCCTTGAACTTTAATCAGATAAAATGAAGGACTGTTATTTAGTTGTCGTTTCTTGTCTTAGTTTCTAGAATGAATTCATACTATTTGGCAAATGAATGTTAAATGTCAAATCTTTAATGAGGAAAGAATTCAGTGGAGGATTTAAGAACATGGTTTAGAAGAGGCGACATAAAGTAAACTCCAGTATCTAGCTCTGAAGGTGAGATATAAAAATTTCATCCGACGATTTCACGGGAAAAGTGTCTAAAAAGTCCTAAACTTTTTGCATTAGTGCCAATTTAGTCCTAAACCTTTTGCATTGGTGCCAATTTAGTCCTAAACCTTTTTTTGGTGCCAATTCAGTCCCAAACCTTTTAAATTGGTGCCAATTCAGTTCTAAACTTTTTGTTTTTGTGCCAATTTAGTCCTTCCGCCCAATTTTGACCGGAATTTGCCGACGTGGACGCTTGCCAGCCGGCGGCCAGTCACCGGCGCAGACGTGGACAACTTTAATAATATTTTAATATTTTTTTGAATTTTTTTTTTTCCTTTTTTTCTTTTTTTTTCACTTTTTTTTTTGTCCCTCCCTCCTTCCTCTGGCCGGTTGCCGGTCCGGCGACCGGCTAGAGGCCGGCGAGCTTGACCTCGCCAGCCATTGGCGAGGGCGGCCTCACCCGACGAGGGCGAGCCTCGCCGTGATTAGGCGAGGCTCAACCTCGCCAGATCCGGCGAGGTCGGGCCTCGCCCGACCATGGCGAGGCTCGAGCCCTCGCCGGAGACCGCAGCGAGGGCGAGCCTCACCATGGTCGAGCGAGGCCCGACCTCGCCGGATCTGGCGAGGTCGAGCCTCACCTAGCGACCTCGCTAGATCCGGCGAGGTCGGGCCTCGCTCGACCATGGCGAGGCCCGACCTCGCCGGATCCGGCGAGGGCTCGAGCCTCGCCCAGCGACCTCGCCAGATCCGATGAGGTCGGGCCTTGCCCGACCATGGCGAGGCTCGCCCTCGCCGCGGCCTTCGACGAGGGCTCGAACCTCGCCATGGTCGGGCGAGGCCCGACCTCGCCGGATCTGGTGAGGTCGAGCCTAATCTAGCGACCTCGCCAGATCAGGCGAGGTCAAGCCTCGCCCGACCATGGCGAGGCCCGACCTCGCCGGATCTGGCGAGGTCGAGCCTCGCCCTCGCCAGGTGAGGCCACCCTCGCCAGTGGCCGGCGAGGTCGAGCCTCACCCTCGCCAATGGCCGGCGAGGTCGAGCTCGCCGGCCTCTGGCCTCTGGCCGGTCGCGAGACCGGCGACTGGCCAGAGGAAGGAGGGAGATAACAAAAAAAAGTGGAAAAAAAAAGAAAAAAAGAGGAAAAAAATAAAAATTCAAAAAAATATTATTAAAGTTGTCCACGTCGGCGTCGGTGGTCGGCCGGCAGGCATCCACGTCGGCAAATTCCAGTCAAAATTGACCAGAATGACTAAATTAGCATAAAAACAAAAGGTTTAGGACTGAATTGGCACCAATTTAAAAGGTTTAGGATTTAATTGGCACAAAAAAAAATTTAGGACTAAATTGGCACAAATGCAAAAGGTTTAGGATTGAATTGGCACCAATGCAAAAGGTTTAGGACTGAATTGGCACAAAAAAAAGGTTTATGACTAAATTGGCATTAATGCAAAAGGTTTGGGACTTTTTTGGCACTTTTCCCACGATTTCACAAATCACGATATATATTTTATGTAAGTCAGACAAAAAACCAAGCGGTCCTAAGGGGTGGCGGTCCCTGTCCCATCAACTCAAGCATACAATCAAGATCAACAATCACCAAAGATTAGGATTAGCAGTTATGGAATCGTCTCACGTTATAATCAAGAAATCTTAATCGGCATTTCCGGCAACTTTCTTTTTCCTTCCACCAGAGAGTCTAGTTTAGCTTCAATTTTATGGCAAAATCAAAACGTCTCGAATTGGCCACACAGCTTGTATCAAAGGTCCTTTTGAAATTACTAACTTTTACAATGACTTGCCAATATTTACTTTTGGACAACCTTTTAAAGTTCCCAACTCGTTTATCAAATTGTCAAACTTTAATTTAAGGTAATTACTAACTTTTTTTCCTATTAAGTTACGCACTAATTTTAGGTTCCAAATTTGAGTCACTTATCAACACTTAATTGATCGTTTGAAAATTATCGACTTTTATAATGACTTATCAACATATATTTGAGTCAAATAAATGTTGGTAAGTTGTTGCAGAATTTGAGATTGAAACCAGTTTGGATTAGCTCTATGATACAAAACGTCCTACAATAATGTACTTCTTTGACATGAATCTTGAATGTATCAATACTAGTATATATAATTCTCCGGACCTAAAGAGTATATGTGAAGTAAATACAGTTTACTCTTCATAGGATGTCTTGTCTAGGAGATGCAACTTTCAGGTCCTCTGGTTCTGAAGACTTGGTCTTTGAATCTTTATTGACCAGAGCGACAATTGGCAATCGATTGTCGACGATCATCAATGAATCATAAAGAGTAAATTTTGAACTTCATGTTCAGCGATAGAACTGATAGAAGTAATTTTGTGTGTCATATTCAACAGAAATGACCAAATACCGAATAAAGCAGTAACATTTCTCGTCCAATATGACATACAAAAGGAACGAACCTGATCTTGATTCGATGAATCAGAAGCGTGGGGCCTTCGTCATTAGGAATCAGAATAGCTAGATTCATAGGATTAAAACATAGACCAAGATAGAGCTAGTCCTAATTAAAAAGATGGAATTAGCCATGTTCTCATTCAATTATTCCATGAAATTTCTGGTCCTAGACAGTGAATAATAAGCCAACACACTCATTGATGAATTTCTAGGCACAAAATACGATAGAAGAGGTCAAAGATTGCTCGCGTAATGCCTAACAATGCTACACTAAATCGTAGATTCTCTTGGCCAATCTACAGTTACTTGAGACTGCCTTCTTGAAATCAATCTATCCATCATACCGTGTGATTAATTAGTACATTAATCTAATGTCAGGAAATTTGGCCGAATGTTTAGAATATGTCATTTGTTGAGATGTTTTGCTGTCTACTTAGAGCAGGGAATGAGCCAATTCAACGACGTCCAATCTTGTTTAGTAAGGTGCACCGTGTTCATGTGGTCAAGCCAGGAGCCGGCATGCTTGGTCAACCTTATCCGCGAAGCAGATAAATTATGTACTCAACCATTGTGTCCTCAAGTCTCGGGTATCTAATAAATATGGTTGGAGTAGTAATTCTAATATGATATATTAGAGATGTTTATGCAATAAAAGGTTTTCAATTTATTAATTTTTAGAGTGATTAAGATCAAGTAGCATGACCATAGTAACCCACAAGAAATAAGTACATTAAATGTTATTGGTTCATTTTCTTAAGTCATTATGTCCCGTGCAAGAAACGGGTCTCATTCTAGTTATAATGTATAATTTTTTGTATGTCAAATTGAAGTGTACAACATCAAATGAAAGTCCATTTAAACCTTACAAGATGAACAAAGCCAAAGATTAAACTAGAGGGTGACTAGAATGACTTACATTTTACATTTTACTTTATTCAAATATGGCAGTTAATGCATTTTGACTTCATTTAAAATTAAGCACTTGAAACTTTCATTATATGATTGTGAGATTTAAATAATATTTGAATTTTTAGCAAGAAAGTAAAACGTCACCTTTTTATTTTTTTTCAAAAATCTTAACAAGAAGAACCTAAAAGTTAACAGTAAAGTTCACATTATATACCTACCGCTATATAGTGATTTAGCCAGGCAAAAACAAGAATTTGAATAAACCGGTCATCAACGGAGTAATTGCTTGTGTTCTTGTGATTTTGAGGAGTTGGAATCGTTGCACATTTGAATCTGCTGGAATATTTCGACCAAAAAAAAGATCTGCTGGAATAGTTTATGATACACAAGGATAGATGGCGTGATCAATTTGAAGGTGGCTAGTTGCGTAGCGCAACCAAAAGTTGTAATATTTGTATTTTTTGCAACTTCAACGACAGATATTAAATAAAGAAAAGGAAGGGGAGACTAGCTGTTTCAATGTAAATGCGTCAACTCACTTGCCTAAAAAAATGCGGCAACTCACGATAGCTTTCTAAGAAAAATACGCTTTTCACTTATGGAATAATTTTTGGTAGATGAGTTTTGATCCGAAAAGAATTATTACCAAAGAACAAATAAATTTAATCCTCCACTTTAGTAGGAAATATTTGACTAGAGCTAAATGGTGTTTTTAAGTTTCTTCGGGCATATATATAGGTGTCACAGTCTCCGGTAATACATGTTGGATCCAAGTGGGAACAGGCGAAATAGTGCCACAAGTGAACCATCTCTTCTGACAGTATATGTTGTGTGTGTGTGATTGACATTTTCCTTTCCCTTATCAAAAGTAAAGGAAAAATAATAACAAAAAAAGAAGGTTCTCTCTAGTTTTTCTGTGAAAAAAAGAAATACAATGATAGGTTCCGAGTCCTAAAATATCGAGGGTTCTTGTCATACATAAGTCTAGCTGAAGGAGGGAACTCTCTTGTTATTTTTCCGTAGAGTTATTTTAAATTTGAATGTAGCTTGAATATTTTACTAAACATTTTTCTATTCAACTTTGACTGGTGTCGTCTATCAAAGACAATGCATAATAGCTTCGCTTCCATCCACAATCTAATACTCACCTGCAACTTCAAGGATGAAAGTGTTGATTCTACAGAACATATTTCCTTGACAGATTAACTTATTAACAATTTTGGCTGTATGGGTTGAGGTCAGTCTTCACTTCTAATTCTTCACTGACAAATAAAAACTCCGCACGCTGGAAGATGGAAGATATATTTGTGGAGAATAATGGAACTAGATTCAATTTGTGTTTTTTGCTTCTTATTTTTTGAACATAGTGAGCTTGACAGATCTCATTATTCATCTTCTTAATTAAACTTGTATACATTGCACCAACAAGCAAAAAGAGATGACAGTAATAAAAAAAAAACAAGCCTTCATAAGGAAAATACATTTCAAGCTAGTCTAGTGACATCTCTATTGATTGAATTTACATTGTACAACTTAAAGAGACAACTCCTCAAACAGTTTCATTATCCATGAAATTTGATGGCGTTTCGCTTTGGCTTCTCTATCCACTCAGCTGCTCTTCTCTCTAGCATTCTCACACCTCGTGTGAGCCATTTGGGTCTTCCCATTTCAAACGCAATGTAAGTTATGGAAATTCCAATTACGATTCCAGATGCATAACCTATCCACACTTCTTTTTGTTTGAACCAACTCTCATGACCTTTGTGGTTGAAACTTGACGAGGATGATGGCAAAGGAGGTTGACCATCGCCAGGGCATAATTTTGGCAACGGAGTTCCACATAAACCTGGATTCCCACTGAAAAAGTCACTTGAAAATGTGCTTAGGTGCTTATCTTGAGGTATGCGTCCTGTTAGTTGGTTCTTGGAGAGGTTTAAGTATCCAAGGGATGCCAAATCTCCGAGTACTCTAGGAATTTCCCCACTAAGCTTGTTTGAAGATAAATCAAGCCATTCAAGATTAGTCAAGTTCCCTAGAATTAGAGGGATGGAACCAGTAAGCTGGTTATGAGAAAGGTTGAGCCCTATGAGAGAGTGAAGATGTCCAATCACTCCTGGGATTTCTCCTTGGAAAGAGTTGTGCGATAAGTCAATGATTGTGAAGACTGTCAAAATCGTCAATGGCACAATCTGCCCTTTTATACTCAAGGTCACGGAATTTTCATAATCTGCCACCCTTTGAAAAGACCGTGTCATATACAATGACTTGTCTTGCCCATTTTCGCCATTCATCATGGATTTAAGATTCATTATCAAGTTGGCTGGCAAAGGACCGCTAAAGTTGTTGTTGGAGAGGTCCAAAATGTGTAACTTGGGAAAAAAGTGAGGTCCCTTGGGAATATTCAAAAGATCCTTAAGATTGTTGGACCTCAAAATGAGAACTTTTAGTTCTGGGAGTGTTCCGAACCATATTGGGAACGTATCCTCTATCTGATTGTCACTGAGATCCAGAATCTCCAGATATTTACATTTGATGAGGGACTGAGGCAATGTGCCTTCAAATCGATTTCGACTCAAGTCAAGAGTCGATAAGCTATTTCTCCAAGAAAATGATTGGGGAATTGTGCCCTCAAGATGATTCATTCGCATATTCAAAATTGACAGATGGATGCTAAAATTTGTTAAGCATCGAGGCAAGCTACCTGTTAAGCCGTTGTCGGACAAGTCGAGGTGCTCGAGCTCAGTGGCATTGCATATCAAAGAGGGGATTCTTCCTGCTATATTGTTTCTTGCAATGCTATAAAAAAATGTGACGGGAGATGGAAGTGGAATTGGCCCTCTAAACTTGTTGTTGGACAGATCTATTGCAGACAATGATGTGTTTGAGAAAACTTGTGTGGGCCATGGTCCAGTAAAATTGTTGAAGGAAAGGTCTAAATAATCAAGAAAGGGGAAGGAGGGTCCAAAGGTAGTGAGGTTGATACTACCATGAAATTTGTTAGATCTCAAAATAAGGGCACGCAAATACGGTGCTTCCAGCCAGTGTGGGAAGATATCACTAAACTCGTTGTCATTGAGAATTAGTGTTAGTAAGTTCCCGCATTTGACAAGGGAACGTGGTAATGACCCTTGTAATTTGTTGCCGCTCAAGTTTAGATACTCGAGATTGGTCATGTTACCAAAACAGGGTGGCATATTCCCAGAGAGATTGTTGTTAGACAAATATAAGCTCCAAAGTGAATTCAACTGACAAATGGAAGAGGGGATCTCACCGGTAAAATTATTGTCGGAGGCATAAAAGTGAGAAGTAGAAGGTGAGGGGATTGGGAGTGGTCCTTGGAATGAATTGTTCTGAAGGTAAATATACTGCAATTGTTTCCAGGGCAATTGTTGTATACATCCCTCTAGAAGGTTATAAGAAAGATCTAATGATTCCAATGTATCATGGCTTACTCCCCAAAACCATGTTGGGATCTCCCCACTAATCCTATTTAAAGAGAGGTCTAAGTATGTTAACCCTTTTGACGAATTCAAGAAATAGGGGAACCCGGTCAAGTTACAAGAATACAACCCCAACACTTCAAGATTTGGGAATGTATACTTCACTGTATTATAGGTTAAATTTAGTTCCTGAGAAACCATAAGCTTTCGAAGATTTTTAAGCTTTGTAAAGATTTCAAACTCTAAAATCCCGCTAAAGCTATTCCCAGCAATATACAGAACTTGGAGTTGCTTGAGATCTGCCAATGATGATGGGACGTTTCCTGTGAATTTGCAATTTGTAAGATCTAAAACTGTTAAACTCTTTAAGGTACCAATTGAATCGGGTATTTCTCCTGAAAAGCTCGTATACCGAAGATACAAAGAATCAAGAGGATTAGTCCAATTGGATTTGGGAAGAATCCCAGACATGTTATCATTGTAACTTATAATGAGAGTAGAAAGGCTCGGTAATCGAAAAACAGTATCTGAAAATATCCCCCCTAAGGAACAGGAATCAACGCTTAAGTAAGTCAAAGAAGAAGACAAATTCGCAAAGGACTTTGGTGAAACCATGGACATGTCTACTTTATCAAGAATAAGCTTTCTCAATGCTGTTAGATTCTGAACAAGCATTGAGAAGACCGAATTTTCCAACCTAAGAGAAGAGAACGAGTATGTGTCGGAAATATAATTGGAAGAGAGATCAAGAGACACCAACTTGGAGAGGCGAGAGATTTTATTAGGAATAGTGCCTGAAAAAGCTAAACTAGAGAGATTCAGATGAGTCAATGTTGCAAAAGCACTCAGATTAGAGAAAATGTGTGAGCCAACAAAGTTATTACCGGAAAGATTGAGGCTCCGAAGATGGCGAAGGAGAAAGAGGGAGCTATTGGAATGGAGAGCGCCACGAAGCCAACTACAAGCAAGATCGAGTTCGATGACGTTGCTGGTGACACCGTCACAAGTGACACCGTCCCATGAGCAGCAATCCATGCCCTTGTTCCATGAGTTTGTCTTTGGATAAGACGTGACATGGTCATCCTCATGACATGAGTCCGATGCCTCGCTATCAAGCACGAAGGAATTCTTAAAGAGGAGCAAGGCATCATGTTGGTCTGGAAGGCAAAGCGGCAAGGCAAAGGGAAGGGAGGAGTGTAAGAAAAAGAGGAAACAAAGGAGGCTGAGGATTTGATTCCACCCCATTTCGCAATTTAGCGTGCGAGTGAGTGAGCGGTGAGAGAGATTACTTCCACTTATATAGCCCTTCTAAAGTGCGAGGTGATCTGACACAAAATCTTCTCTAAGATCTGTTGGTTGGCTCACAGACATATAGCAATGTGAAAGCCTCCAGTAATTTCGTCAAATAGGTGTGCAAATAAAAGCTTATAAAAGTTAAGATTAATACCACGAAAAACCCAAAACTAATTTATTTGTGACAAAATTACCTCAAACTATTTTTTTTATTATCAAAAATCTAAAACTGGTACATTTGTGATAGATTTTCTTTCCGTTAGTTTCCGTTAAATTAAACTGTCAAATTGCTAAATTATATGACACGTGACAGTTAACATATGTATTAGTTTGTGGTTTTACCCTCCATTTGTTACGGTGTACCAGTTTGTAATTTTTTGTGATATTAATCCAATTTAACAGAAACTAACGGATGGTAAATTTGACACAAATATATCAGTTTGGAGTTTTTAGTGATCAGAAAATTAATTGAGTAAATTTTTCATAGGTATATCAGTTTAAGGTTTTTAGTGGTCGAAAAATTAATTTGAGGTAAATTTGTCATATGTATATTAATTTGCGATTTTTCGTGATATTAACCATAAAAGTTATTTGACACTTCATTCAGAAAACAACTTACACACACACACACACACACACACATATATATATATATATATATATATATATATATATATATATTATTTGGATCACGTCTAAACATGTACAATACAAGAGTATTTGAGATTAATATTTCTCAAAGTTAAATTATTGTAAAAATTAAGATAAAGTGATAAAATATAAAGTGCTTGTCAAGTATTTTTCTGCTACAATTACGTAGAAAGGGGAAAGAAAAGATGCACGGTCTGATAGAAGTCAAGGTCTCCATGAAACGACATTACTGGGGTCACATATTTGGTTTTTTTATTGTCTTGGTTGGGTTAGTTGGGTGTGGAAAAATTTCAGTGCCATAGAATTTCCTAGGAAAAGTCCTCTTGAAAGGTTTTTTTGCGCCCCATGTCTTGCCACGTGTACAAACCCCACGGCACGGCACTAAGAACTCTATTTGACAACCGAGGAATTTCACTTTCATGTATTCTTCAATCGCAATTTTTTGTTGGTATTTGTAAATGAGGTGAAGAATACGCTTTTGTCGCTGCCTCACGACAAGCGTTACCTGATGAAGGTGCTCCGTTTCGCAAGTTAATGTTTTCATTCGCCAGTAGAGAGACTTAGGGTGGTTGTAATGTCGACTCGTCCATTGAAAACATAGACAAAAATTCATGACCCTACTTTGTTAGCTATCAAGAATTAGTAATTCTTTATGACAAAGCTCGCTTTCTTTAGATTTACTAGGAAATTTTCATTATGACAAAATAATAAGGGAAAAAGAGACTAAAAGTGACGTAACTTTGGTATGGCACTCACTTTTATATTTAAATTTTTCGAGCAATCACTTGAATGCCATTTTTGTGAAAAAAACGATAACTTAAGTACCATCGCCAATTTGAATAGCCGGAAAATCTGATGTGTCATTTTAAAAAAAATAAATAGTCCGACGTGGTTCGCCGAAAAGAGCAACTAGACTTGTCAAACAGGTGGATCAGGTCATGAATGATCCAACCCTAATTGACCCATTAACCCATTTACGACTAATTTATTCATAATACAAATCTATTAACCTATACCGACCCGACTCATATTGCTAAAAAAACGACTAATTTATTCATAATACAAATCTATGAACCACATCGGACTATTTATTTTAGCCGGTGAAGTCAGGTCCTTATTTAAGACTGATATGGCCACCTTAGGCCCTTATTTGAGACAAGATTCATTTCAGGCCCTTATTTGAAAAAATGAGGGCACTTCAAGTCATTATTTGAGACAAAATCCACTAAATGCCCTTATTTGAGAAAATGACTCCACTTCAGACCCATTTTGGAATTTTCCCAATAATAAGGGAAAATGACACTAAAAGTGACGTAACTTTGGTACGGCACTCACTTTTATATTTAAATTTTTCGAGCAATCACTTGAATGCCATTTTTTGTGAAAAAAACGATAACTTAAGTGCCATTGCCAATTTGAATAGCTAGAAAATCCGACGTGTCACTTTTTTAAAAATAAACAGTCCGATGTGGTTCGCCGGAAAGAGCCACATTTTAATTAACTATTTGGATCACGTCTAAACATGTACAATACAAGAGTATTTGAGATTAATAGTTCTCAAAGTTAAATTATTGTAAAATTTAAGATAAAGTGATAAAATATAAAGTGCTTGTCAAGTATTTTTCTGCTACAATTACGTAGAAAGGGGAAAGAAAAGATGCACGGTCTGATAGAAGTCAAGGTCTCCATGAAACGACATTACTGGGGTCACATATTTGGTTTTTTTTTTTTTGTCTTGGTTGGGTTAGTTGGGTGTGGAAAAATTTCAGTGCCGTAGAATTTCCTAGGAAAAGTCCTCTTGAAAGGTTCCTTTTGCGCCCCATGTCTTGTCACGTGTACAAACCCCACGGCACGGCACTAACAACTCTATTTGACAACCGAGGAATTTCACTTTCATATATTCTTTAATCGCAATTTTTTGTCGGTATTTGTAAATGAGGTGAAGAATACGCTTTTGTCGCTACCTCACGACAAGCCTTACCTGATGACGGTGCTCCGTTTCGTAAATTATTTTTTTCATTCGCTAGTAAAGAGACTTAGGGTGGTTGTAGCGTCGACTCGTCCACTGAAAACACAGACAAAAATTCATAACCCTACTTTGTTAGCTGTCAAGAATTAGTAATTCTTTATGACAAAGCTCGCTTTCTGTAGGTTTACTAGGAAATTTTCATTATGACAAAATAATAAGGGGAAAATTCCAAAAATGGGCCCGAAGTAGAGTCATTTTTTCAAATAAGGGCTTGAAGTGGTCAACTCGTCTCAAATAAGGGCTTGAAATGATCAAATCGTCTCAAATAAAGACTTGAAGTGGTCAAATCGTCTCAAATAAGGATCTTTAGCCAGCCGGTGACTATTCGTCGCTAGAGAAGAGGTATTTTAGTCAAAAAAATTATAAGTATATTTTTTTGATTTTTTTCACTTTCTTTTTCTTTTCCTTTCCTTTTCTTTTTTTTCTTTTCCCTTTTTTCTTCTTCCCCAGCGGTCAATGCACCTGGCCGGCGACGGCCTCAGATGAGGGCTGCCCTTGCCGATGTCGGGCGAGGGTCGCCTTGCTTGGGCTGCCGGCGAGGGCGGCCACCGCTTGTAGCCGGCGACCTCCGCTGGCCCCAGCGATGGCCGGCAAAGGGAAGAGAGGAAAAACAAAAAGGAAAAGAAAAAGAAAAAAACATAAAAAGGAAAAAAGAAAGAAAAAAATTCAAAAAAGTAAAAAGACGAAAATACCTTTTAGCCGGTGAAGTCAAGTCCTTATTTAAGACTGATATGGCCACCTTAAGCCCTTATTTGAGACAAGATTCATTTCAGGCCCTTATTTGAAAAAAATGAGGACACTTCAGATCATTATTTGAGACAAAATCCACTTAAGGCCCTTATTTGCGAAAATGACTCCACTTCAGGCCCATTTTGGAATTTTCCCAATAATAAGGGAAAATGACACTAAAAGTGACGTAACTTTGGTACGGCACTCACTTTTATATTTAAATTTTTCAAGCAATCACTTGAATGCCATTTTTTGTGAAAAAGATGATAACTTAAGTGCCATTGCCAATTTGAATAGCTGGAAAATCCGACGTGTCACTTTTTAAAAAATAAATAGTCCGATGTGGTTAGCCGGAAAGAGCCACATTTTAATTAACTATTATGATGGACTTAATTTTTATTTTCCACACTGGACATCAAATTTTTTCCATTTTTCATTTTGCAGAGGACTACAATCATAGAAGAAGAAGTTGACGACGATGAGATGCTGATGAAGATGAGGAAGGCCATGAACACCTGGACACATAGGTTGATGACGAAAAAGAAGATGAATTTTTAAAAGCTAAATGACATCTTCTCACGTTTATTTGCCCTAAATTCAAGAATCTTTCTCTCTCTACTCCATCTTCGGTCACTGCTAGCCTCTACCCCAGCTTCTGTAGTGTTGCCAGTGTCGTCAACTCCTGTTCTCATGCCGCCACCCCAGGCGAAGACGAATCTGGACTCCGACCTCCGAGACTCGCTCCCAATTTCACCTTGTTGATCCTTGACACTACAAACTTCTTGTACAACACGTCAAGATCTTGCTCCTTGGACAGAGTGATCCCATTGAGGATGAAGTCGCAGTACCCAAACTCCGAGTGGTCGCAGAGGGTTTGCTTGTCCTGGTCAATCTACAAGACATGATAGATTTGTCCTTGCGATCTGATTAGTCACGGATTGGGCCGTTGACTTCGATAACCCACAAATAAAAAGATCACGAACTCTTTCGTATAGCTGGTCCTTTACTCGAGTGCTAAGCTTTGCTATTGTCCCCCTTCTTTTTCCACTTTTTTGATTGTCATGGCTTTTTGCGCTCATACAAATTGCCACTTCGTCTTTCTGAAATTTTGAACTTTTGATTGAGTCTTCACTTCTGCCTAGAGGATCAATTCTACGTCAAGTTGGTTCGAATTCCAAAATGAATGCTTTTTTTAGCTGGGTCATTATCATCTGCCTCTGCCTCTGCCATGGAAACAAAAACTTTCCATAGAGGATTCATACTTAGAAATTAATACGTTTACATGAAGTTCAGCGTATATATTGTTTGCTTACATCTCGCTTGAGCTAATTCCTTCCAATTTATTAGATTGATTATTTTTGGCGAATTTTGCTATCTTCAAATTCGTTAATATATAGATTATTTAAACATATCTCTATATGATTGACTTCCAAATTACATTGATTCCACCAGAAGAACAACTCACTTCTTTGTTAACAGTGACACAATAAAGAGAAACTTAACACTCTGACGATAAATATAGCAATATAGCAGTATAGTTGCCTACAGAGAATAAGAAGTTACAAACATCTGTAGCGAAAATGATTTGATATGTATATGGCTTATTCTAGATAAATTGCCTAAAATCTATGAATGGTATGGCTTTGTTACACAGCTGCGGGGCACGCATTCATTCTCTTTTGATTCATCCAGGGAAAAGAATTCCGCAAAAATTTGTAACGTGTATTTAGTGTATGTGAGCTGACTCCATCTCAACAAAGCCCCATAAGTTAACATCAAACGGTTATAATAGCACTTCATATAACCACATATTATATGAGTTTCATTTCAGTTCTTATATACATAGAGAGAGATTGTTGGGTTAAACTCGAGGCTTTTGCTTATTACATAAAGTTGGGTGAAACTAAAATTACCAGTTTACCCAAAATGGAGAGTTATTCTCTCATCGCAATGCATTCGACAAAATCTAGCCCGTTCCTCTTGGAATATGTTTGCATGTCGCTCCGGAATATCATTTTCTATCGACATAGTTCATTGATGCTTATTTGTAGACTATTTTCTAAAAATGCCAATAAAAACACCACATGCTTTAGATTTAACTTAAGAAAATACTAGGGGAGTAGTTCATTTCACAAATCTCGTTGAATTCAAAAGATATATCATAAACAAAAGGGTGTGCTACGCTTATGAATCCTTTTATTCGCTTACTAAATGCTTTTTTTTTTTTTGCACGATATTTTCTTTATGACAATTAGTATACTCCTAAAGTATCAGGTGAAATCAAATAAAATGTGATTAATTTAAAAGTACGCTGATAGAGTTACATGGTAAGTTTGTATTCTATTCTCAATTATCATCACCTTATTTATAATAATTCCTCTCTCATTCGTGCAGCCCTATATTTATTGCGATTTAGTTAGTTAATGATGTGGCAATACACGTGACACTGTTTGAGAAAAAATCTTGTCTTGTTACCCTATGGGCTTGAAGCTTCTATGATCCCTCGAGAGACCAATTCACTATCATATTCAAATGCATTTTATCGTAACTTACTGTGAGTGGCAGCCAGGGGACAAAACGGGAGTTTTCCTCATATAGCTTTAACTCGAGGGGCAAAACATTGATATTTTAGAAATAAAGGAGGCAAACTGAAATATGAAAATAATGTAAGGAGGGCGATTTGTATTTTTCGCGACTTCAACTACAGATATTAAATAAAGAAAAGGAGGGGGAGACTAGTTGTTTCAATTTAAATGCGTCAACTCACTTGCCTAAAAAAATGCGGCAACCCACAATAGCTTTCTAAGAAAAATACGCTTTTCACTTGCGGAATGATTTTTGGTAGATGAGTTTTGATCCGAAAGAATTATTACAAAACAATAAAAATTTAATCCTCCACTTTAGTAGGAAATATTTGACCAGTGCTGAATCGTATTTTTAAGTTTCTTCGGGCATATCCTGTTGTGTGTGCGCTTGGCATTTTCCTTTTCCTTATCGAAAGAAAAGGAAAAATAATAACAAAAAAGAAGGTTCTCTCTACTTTTTCCAAAAAAAGAAAAGAAAAGAAAAACATTGATACGTTCCGAGTCCTAAAATATCGAGGGTTTTTTGTCATACATAAGTCAAGCTGAAGGAGGGAACTCTCTTGTTATTTTTCAGAAGAATTATTTGAAATTTGAATATACTTTGAATATTTTACTAAACATTTTTCTATATTCAACTTTGACTTGTGTCCTCTATCAAAGACAATGTAAAATAGCTTAGCTTCCATCCACAATCTACTACGCACCCGAAACTTCAAAGATTAAAATGTTGATTCTTCAGGACAAATAAAAAGTTTTTAACAATTTTGGCTGAATGGGTTAAGGCCAGTCTTCACTTCTAATTCTTCATTGACAAATAAAAACTATGCACACTAGAAGATGGAAGAGATATTTGTATAGCTTAATGGCACTAGATTCATTTTGTGTTTTTCAGACATCTTCTTTATTAAACTTATATACGATTGCACCATGAAGCAAAAAGAGACTGGCAATATAAACAAAAACAATCCTTCATAAGAGAAATAACATTTCAAGCTGGTTTAGGGACATCTTTATTCACTGAAATTACATTGCACAACTTAAACGGACACTCCTCAAACAGTTTCATTGTCCAAGAAATTTGATGGCCTTCCGCTTTGGCGTCTCCATCCACTCAGCTACTCTTCTCTCCAGCATTCTCACACCTCGCGCAAGCCATTTGGGCCATCCCGTTTCAAACGCAATGTAAGATATGGAAATCCCAATTACGATTCCAGATGCATAACCGATCCACACTTCTTTTTGTTTGAACCAACTCTCATGCCCTTTGTGGTTGAAACTTGACGAGGACGATGGCGGCGAAGGTTGAGCATCGCCAAGGCATGCTTTTTGCAAGGGAGTTCCACATAAGCCGGGATTCCCACCAAACGAGTCATTTGAAAATGTGCTCAAGTGCTTGTCTTGAGGTATGCGTCCCATTAGTTGGTTCTTGGAGAGGTTTAAGTATCCAAGGGATGCCAAATCTCCCAGTACTTTAGGAATTTCCCCACTAAGCATGTTTGAAGATAGATCGAGCCCTTCAAGTTCAATCAAGTTCCCTAGAATCACAGGAATGGAACCATTAAGGTGGTTATGAGAAAGGTTGAGCCCTATGAGAGAGTGAAGATGTCCAATGACTCCTGGGATATCCCCTTGAAAAGAGTTATGTGACAAGTCAAGGGTTGTGAAGACGGTGAAGATCTTTTGTAGCTCAATCTCTTTCCCTTTTATGCTTACGGTCACGGAATTTTCATATCCCATCATCCTTCCAAAAATCCGTGTCATATACAATGATTTGTCTTGTTCATTTTTGCAGTTGATCATGGCTTTAAGGGTCATTATCAAGTTGGCTGGCAACGGACCGCTAAAATTGTTGCTGGAGGTCCAAAATGTGTAACTTAGGAAAGAGATGAGCTCCCATGGGAATATTCAAAACATCCTTGAAATTGTTGGACCTCAAAATGAGAACTTTGAGCTCTGGGAGTGTTCCCAACCATCTCGGGAACGTATCCTCTATTTGATTGTTACTGAGATCTAGAATTTCCAGATCTTTACATTTGACAAGGGATCGGGGCAATATGCCTTCAAATTGATTTTGACTCAAGTCAAGAGTCAACAAGCTCCAAGAAAATGATTGAGGAATTGTGCCCTCGAGGTGATTCATTCGCAAATTCAAAACTAACAGATTGGTGCTTAAATTTGTTAAGCATCGAGGCAAGCTACCTGTTAAACCATTCTCGGACAAGTCAAGGTGCTCGAGCTGAGTGGCATTGCATATCAAGGAAGGGATCTTTCCTGTTAGATTATTGTGGGCAATGCAATAAAAAAATGTGAAGGGAGATGGAAGTGGAATTGGCCCTTCAAACTTGTTGTTGGATAACTCTATTACAGCCAATAACGTGTTTAAGAAAACCTGTGTGGACCACTGCCCAGTAAAATTATTGTAGGAAATTAACAAATATTTAAGAGCAGGGAAGGAGAGTTCAAAGGCAGTGAGGTTGATACTACCATGAAATCTATTGGCACGCAAAACAAGCATATTCAGTTGCGGTGCTTCCAGCCAATGTGGGAATATATCACTGAACTCATTGTCATCGAGATCTAGTATCGATAAGTTCACACATTTGACTAGGGAGCGCGGTAATGGACCTTGTAATTTATTGCTACTCAAGACTAGATACTCAAGATTGGTCATATTACCAAAACATGGTGGCATATTCCCAGAGAGATAATTCTTAGATAAATGTAAGTACTTGAGCAAACTCAACTGGCAAATTGAAGAGGGGATCTCACCGGTGAAACCATTGTTAAAGGCATAAAAGTTCAACGTAGAAGGCGAAGGGATCAAGAGTGGCCCTTGGAATTTGTTGCTGCTCAAGTCTAGATAGAAGAGATTGGTCATATTACCAAAACATGGTGGCACATTCCCAGAGAGATTATTGTTAGACAAAACTAAGTAAAAAAGTGAATTCAACTGGCAAATCGAAGAGGGGATCTCACCGGTGAAACCATTGTCGGTGGCATAAAAGTGAGAAGTAGAAGGTGGAAGAATTGGGAGTGGTCCTTGGAATTTGTTGCTGCTCAAGTCTAAATAGAAGAGATTGGCCATATTACCAAAACATGGTGGCATATTCCCAGAGAGATTATTGTTAGACAAAATTAAGTACCGAAGTGAATTCAACTGGCAAATCGAAGAGGGGATCTCACCGGTGAAACCATTGTCGGTGATATAAAAGCGAGAAGTAGAAAGTGGAAGAATTGGGAGTGGTCCTTGGAAAGAATTGTTTTGAAGGTAAATATACTGCAATTGCTTCCAGGGCAATTGTTGTATACCTCCCTCCAGGAGGTTATGAGAAAGATCTAATAATTCCAATGTATCATGGCCTATTCCCCAAAACCACCTCGGGATCTCTCCACTAATCCTATTGGAAGAGAGGTATAAGTATGTCAATCTTTTTGACAAATTCAAGAAATAGGGGAACTTGGTCAAATTGCAAGAAGACAACCCCAACAACTCAAGCTTTGGGAATGTATAGTTCAGTGTGTTGGAGGTTAGACTTAGATCTTGAGAAACATTGAGCACTTGGAGATTTTTAAGCTTTGAAAGAGTTTCAAACTCTACAACCCCGCGAAAGTTATTCCCAGCAAGATACAGAACTTGAAGTTGCTTGAGATTCCCTAGTGATGAGGGGATGTATCCTGTGAATCTGCAATCGTTAAGATCTAAAGTCTTCAAAGTCGTCATGTTACCAATTGAATCGGGTATTTCTCCATAAAAGCTCGTACTACCAAGAGACAAGTACTCAAGAGGACTAGTCCAATTGGATTTGGGAAGAATCCCAAACATGTCGAGGTTTGAATGTAGATAGAGAGAAGTAAGGCTCGGTAAGCGAAAAGCAGTATCTGGAAAAATGCCCCCTAAGGAACAAGCTGAAACGCTTAAATGTGTCAAAGAAGAAGAAAAATTCGCAAAGGACATTGATGATACCATAGACATGTTTACTTCATCAAGAACAAGCTGTCGCATTGCTGTTAGATTTTGAACAAGCATGACGAAGATTGAATTTTCCAACATGATAGAAGGGAATGAGTATGATTCATCATAATTGCAAGAGAGATCAAGTGATACCAGCTTAGAGAGGCGAGAGATTTCACTAGGAATGGTACCAAAAAAGTGTGAACGAGAGAGATTCAGATGAGTCATTTCTACAAGTGCACTCAGATTAGGGAAAATGTGTGAGCCAACAAAGTTATTACCGGAAAGGTTGAGGATCTGAAGATGGCGAAGGAGAAGGAGGGAGCTATTGGATTGGAGAGCGCCACGAAGCCAACTGCAACTAAGGTCAAGACCAACAATGTTACCGGTGACACTATCACAAGTGACACCGTCCCACGAGCAACAATCGAGGCCCTTGCTCCATGATTTTGTCTTTGGATAAGATGGATACCAATAACAATAGTCTGACGCCCTGCTATCAAGCACGAAGGAATTCTTAAAAAGGAGCAAGGCATCGCGTTGGTCAGGAGAGCAAAGGGGCGAGGCAAAGGGAAGGGAGGAATGTAAGAGAAAGAGAAAACAGAGGAGGCCGAGGATTTGATGCAACCCCATTTTCACTTTAGCATGCAAGTGAGTTAAGTGGCAGTGGAGAGTGCTTCGACTTATATTAACATAAGTCTTCTAATAAGCCATGTCATCAACACAAGTCTTCTCTGAAAGATCTGTCGGTGTGGGCTCTCTTAGATTTTCAACTTCTTCTCCGCCCATCGTTTTCGATAAGATGACTTCAACTTGCCTTGCGGGTTGGGAGAATATTTTCCTATTCTTTTCCCCGTGCTTGCAGGCGCAATTGGCGTCGCCTTGGATGAAGTATTCCATTAATTTGATATTAGTGTATGTAATTTTTCACAAGTATTTTATTTGGGTTGTTGACTGTTGAGGGTAGAAAATAACAATAAAAACACTTGTTGAATTAGACATGTAAAACTCGGCCTATAAATTAGAACTTGATTAGACCATATCTCCTTATCTACTATCTAAATTTTAAAATAAATTAAAGCTTATGGAAAAATTTCCACTTATGTTTTTAATAAGTTAATTTCAAATTAAGTGGATTTTAGATTGAATTATTTTCAATTTAATTCATTCTTAGTAAAAGATATTTGATTGAGTTAAAGAGATTGAATCATTTAGATAAAAAGTTTATCAATATTATCTTTTTGTAATCAATTTCGAATTAAGTGAAGTTTTTTTTTTCGGTAGGAATTAAGTGAAGTTTAGATAAAACTATTTTCATTTTCATTTTCTTCTAAACATATTGTTTTAACAAAGCAACCTTTCAGTTTTTTGGTACACCTTATATATATTTGGATCACGTCTAAACTTGAATAATACAAGAGTACTCGGCATTAATATTTCTCAAAGTTAAATTATTGTGGAATTTAATGTAGAGTGATAAAACATCTTTAAGTTTAATAAATTGCTTGTCAAATATTTCGCGGTCACGCGGAAAGGGAAAAGAACAGACACAGGATATGATAGAATTCTGTGTTTTCTGCTTGAGCACATTGCTTTAGGACAGCGGTGCACTTAATCATAAGTGCTAAGAAGTCGAAGTCTTCTTGAAATGATAGTACTGGGGTCACATATTTGAAATTATCGTCATGGTGGGGTTACTTGGGTGTGAAAAATTTTTGGCGCCGTAGAATTTCTTCCTTAGCTGGATGCAGAAAAGCCAGCGGAGGAGTTTTTAGGGCATCCATTCCAAATGGGCATATACAAACTGGTACTAATAAGTTGGGTTTTATTGGTGATCTTTTCTTGCAATGTCAAATCAAGCATGGAACACGATTGTTCTACGGATACACAATATGGAAGTCTTGTCCTCTTATCTTGAAAGGCATATTAGTCAAGTCTATGCATGGCTCTGGTCATCACTATTTAGTAGACAAATGTGGAAAATCTATTGTGAAGACGGCAGTCATTTATGAATATTTTCGAGTGAGGCAACTTTGGAGCTCCAATACCCTATTTACTATGGCAACCATGTGTGAGAAAGGTAAGTCCAAGATCTACTATTCATCTGCAAGTTCAACAAAAATTTAGAGCGGGATGATGGAATGTCTAATGCTAATTCTTAAGGGATGTATTTCCATGGTTGATTCATTCAATAAGACCGGCTAAATGGGCTTCTGTTAGTAAGTACTCAATTAAGAGTTGATTAAAAAAAATAAAAACTAATGGGTAATTTAAGTTGGCAAGTTTCTCTAATGTTGGTTCGTAATTGCGAAAATATGAAGAAAAAACATACCTCAGTTTTTGTTCAATTTCTCTAAGAAAAACCCCACATTGAAAAGATCAAATTGCCCCTCCTTGCAAACCCATTTTAGCGTATTGCTTATGGGAGCATTTTGGGTGGGTGTTAGAATTATTGTAAAATTTAAGATATGGTGATAAAACATCTTTAAGTTTAATAAAGTGCTTGTCAAATAATATGGCGGTCACGCGGATCACGCGGAAAGGGAAAAGAACAGACACAGGTCTGGTAGAATCCCATGCTTTCTGCTTGAGCACAATGTCTCCAGGACAGCAGTGCGCTTAATCACAAGTGCTAAGAAGTCAAAGTCTTCTTGACATGATATTAGTGGGGTCACAAATTTGTATTAATTGTCTTGGTGGGGTTACTTGGGTGTGGAAAATTCTTGATGCGATAGAATTTCTTCCTTAGCTGGATGCATGAAAGCTAGTGGAGGAGTTTTTAGGGCATCCATTCCAAATGGGCATTCACAAAATGGTACTAATAAGTTGGTTTTATTGGTGATTTTTACTTGCAATGTCATATCAAGCATGAAATGTGTGATTGTTCTACGTACATATACACGGTATGGAAGTCTTCTCCTCTTTTCTTGAAAGGCATATTAGTCAAGTCTATGCGTGGCTCTAGTCATCACTATCTAGCAGACAAATGTGGAAAATCTATTACGAAGACGTTAGTCATTTATTAATATTTTCAAGTAAGATAACTTTGAACCTCCAATACCCTGTTTACTACGGCAAACTCGTGCTGAGACAGGTACAAGTCCAAGATCTACTATTCACCTGCAAGTTCAACAAAAATTTAGAGCGAAATGTTGGAATGTCTACTGCTAATCTGGGATATGTTTCCATGGCAGATTCAGCTATCAAGATCGGCTAAATGGGCTTCTGTTGGTAAGTACTCAACCAAGAGTTGATAAAAAAAAAAAAAACCAAAACTAATGGGCAATTTAAGTTAACATAAGTTCGCAAGTTTCTCTAATGTTGGTGGAAATTAAAAAAAAATTACTTCATTTTTTATTCGATGACCACTTATGTACCTCTAAAAAAAACTCACGTTGAAAACACTAAATTTCCCCTCCTTGCAACCCCATTTTAGTGAATTGCTTATGGTTTAGATGGTTTGATCTTTAGTTGGTTTTGAGCATTTTGGGTGGGTGCAAGAATTTGGGATTGTACATGAGCATTTGGAAAGAAAATGACATTTTTGTATATATATATATATATATATATATATATATATATATATATATATATATATTTTTTTTTTTTTTTTATCGACCATTTTTGTATATTAACACAAGCATAATTGATACAAAGGAGCAAAATGGTCTCCAAAGGTAACTCTCATGTACGTATTTAATATTTTCAAAAGTAGAGATGTATAGTGGTCATTGGGTGAAAGATGAGGTATGTTTTCGTATTTTCCCTCAACAATTTCCTATAAGAGTTAGTGAATGAGAGCGTTTAGTAAATTATACAAATAAAAGTTTGTAAGTTAGTACAAGAGTTTCAAGTATTGACAAATTACCAGCAACTCACCTCGAAAAAGATATCAGAATTCTTTTTACTTATGATTTTCCGGCCCTAATCAACGTTTATTAAATTTGCCACCACAAAAAAGAATAGAATTCTGCGTTCACTAACAATATTAAGGTTGTGCGACAGGTCGCTGGTTCAAAATCCCATGACCTTGAAACCTCTTTTTTTTTTTCTTTTTTCAAAATGAGTGACGTTAAAACTTTACAAAGAAAAGGAAAAAATATTGCAATTTGGATTTCTTCTTAAGACATAATCCATAAGATGTTAGAAAACTAAAGGACTGAAGATCCCGAATTTGCATGGATGAACAAAACTCATGCATAATCAGGATCAAATGTGGAAACGTGAAGAAATTCTATATAACCTCCGGCCATTGATGAAGCTTGATTGCAAAGCTAACTTGCCGAGCATTTAACAGTCATAGAATGGGTACTTCTAACCAATTACTCTCTCAATATCGATGGTGTGTTTTCAGATAATGAGAGGATTTGGCTTAGACCTGTTTATATCTCCACTCGCAATCCTTCATATAATGTCTTTCATCAAGACGTTATCATGACTTTTGGGCGATCACAATACAAATGGGCAGTTATTATGCAACTTAACGTGGATAATAAACGTTAACGAAATTAACTGAATGTGGGATCACATTATTGATATTGTAACATAAGAGACATAAATTTTCCAAAGGGGAGTGATATTTAGAAATTAACACGTTTACATGAAGTTCAATGATTATATTGTTTGTTTTCCACCCACTTGAGCTAACTCCTTTGATACTACAAGATCGATTAATCTCAACGAATTTGGTATTTTTAAATTCGTTCATACATAGATTACTAGTGAAACATATATCTTTATGGTTGACTTCCGAATTTTAATGATTTACCAAAAGAGCAATTAACTTTTTTGCTAAGTGTTACCCAAAAAAAAAACACAATGACGAACAATATAGCAATATAGCACGTTAAATTATATTATTCATGACGCCTATCCACATCTTCCCTCGTAGACAAAGAACAAGAAATCACAAAACATCTGTAGCAAAAATGATTTGATATGTATATGGCTTATTCTCGATCAATTGCCTAAAATTTTTAAGGACGAAGGGTTTGCTACTGCACGTGATTCTCTTTTTATTCATCTAGAGAAAGCAACATCACACAAAATTATTACATGCACTTGATGCGTGTGGGTGTGTGTGGGCCGACTCCATCTCAATAAAGCACCATAAGATCAACATCAAGCGGTGACAATGACACTTAGGGGTGTTAATTTTTCAGGTCGGATCCGGTATTAGTGGAAACCTGACCAAATCCGAACACGACAATTATGTGCCTCTTGTGAGCCGAACTGCCCAAAACCAGAACCGAAAAATGGGACGGCTCCAGTTTTTCGGTTTTTTCCTTTTTTTTTTTTCTTCTTCCCCTCTTCTGCTTCCTTGCATCGCATTTTTCCAATTTACAATAAATATGGTGCTCAAATCACTAACCCAGAAATAGGGGTGTCAAAAAAGCCCGAGCTGACCCGGCCCGGCCCGACCTGAAATTTTAGGGTATTTTAGGGTCAAGTTTTATTTTCTCTGGGTATGGATTTTAGATGTGGATATTTATTAGGATCGGGCCGGGCTGGGCCGGGTTGGGCCGGGCTGGACCGGGTTGGGCCGGGCCGGGGGTTTTTTGACCTAGCACCAAATATAACCCTTCTCCCCTTCCCCCTTGCTCTCGTCTCTCTCTGGTGGCCGTGAATCTCCT